TATATATAGGCCTAGAGATATAGGGCTATATATATATAACATAAGTATAATGTATTATGTATATAATTATAACGGTATCTAGGCCCAGAGTTTAGAGTCAAGCAGGGAGTTTTTATCGATCTGTTAACACCTACTGTTCATGCACCATTGTTCCATTTGTAATATGAAGAGAGACGGTGGAGTCTGCTGTTAATTAGGTTTAAGTTGTTTTTTCAACATTAATGAGCAGATTAAAGAAAAACCAAATTACTTATCTTGTCAGTATCACTGTGAAAAGAGAGTGAAGAAGCATTATCAATAGACAAAAGGTGGGAATTTGAAGAGATATGTCATAGGTCCGATCAATAAAGCTTAGAAAAAAGGGGAGACGACCCACTATTGATCCTCGAACATCCGATTTAATTAGAACCTTCAGAGTGACAGCCGCCACACATTGTCCAAGACTTTTTTTCAGAATAACAATGCAAAGTTAAAAATAATTAGGATATGAATAATTTACAGTTGATAGAAAAAGAACATATATTCAAATGATTTTCTAAAATCAAATAATACACTAAGTCAGTATGCATTTACTTATTAAAATCGTTAATAAAATCTATCAATATATATAAAGTGAATCGTAGATTTGGCAGGGCAGTTTAGCCCTTTGTATATCGTATTTTAATTATTAAAAATTAACATTTATTTTGCTATAGCGCATATATTACACTGACACCTTTAATATTGATATAAATTATGTTTATAGTTTTCAACAACCTTTTAATTATTTCTCTTTCCTGCATTGCTTATATTCAAGTATCTATGTTGCTATACCTTATAGGCTTAATTAGCAGGCCCGTAGCCAGGTGGGGGGGGGTTATGGTTCTGGCGAACCCCCCCTTTTCTAGCGAACCTCCTCAAATTTTTGAATAAGTCCCACTCGGACGGAATGTCCGTTTTTAACTTACCCAGCATTAAATCAAAATTTAACGCCTTTTTCATTATTTGGTCACCCGTTTTTAAATTGTAGCCTGCGATACAAGCCTACATTCATGGAGATTTAAATTGAACGCAACTCCGGAAAACCATGACTTTACGATAGCTCACGTACATAAGGATGACTTTCACTGGCCTTTAGTTGAATGTTAATTGTAAGAAATGTACCAACCGGTAACGAAATCGATCTCCGTCTACCCAGAGTAAATGGCGCCACCAAACTAAGATAAAGTTTTGCGACTTAATCCACCAAATACTTAATGATTGTGGATTGTGTGGTTAGTAAAATTTCATAGCCATACTGTCCATAGCGCACACTAAACTATTTGCTGATGGAGCATTTGGGAAATTAACATAGTATTAATAAATCAACATGGTCCATCTCAGTCATCATAGCGAGTCACAAAATTAGGAAGTTTGTTTTCAACAGCAGACACACGCAACAGAACGGAGTGCGTCAAAATCTAAAAAATACGTACTGACATTTTGTTATACACATAATACACATTCCCTTGTAGTACAGTAAGACATGTTTCATTAACATAACATACACTGAGGATCGCCAACGAATTGGGTGGGTATTCAAACTTTTACGATATGGTGAACTATTTCGATTAAAATGTTAAAGTGATTATATAAGAATTAGATGAGTCACTGTCAATAAAACAATTCGCGGAAGAGGAGTATTCAAAATATCGGTACTATTAATATAGGACTAATCAGATGACTGACGCCATTCTCCATCGACAATTGATTTTATGTGCATTATTTATCTACAATTCTTATCTACAGTATATACACTAGAGAATATTTACACTCACACCTTTAAAAAACAAGTTACCAACAACGACATCTAAATAGCTGTAGGAAAAACAAATTATCAGCCTGCTGCTCTCTGCCTGAATAGTGATCGTAACTGAACAATAATGATGCAGCAACACACTTGGTCAACTTGTAAAAATTTAGAGCCTTCTGTTGTTTGCCCATAAAACAAATTTTGGAGTGTTATAAAGTACGATTTCAAAACATTGTCATCGTAAAGAAACAGCTATAATATTGAAAACAAACAACTTAAAACAAAACCGGTGTACGGATAAATATTTACAATAGATTTTAACGGTCAACTTGTAATCAAATTATACGACCAATTTTTACACACATTTGTGAGTGACGGTTTGTACTAGACATGCAAAACAAACATTAGCGGTTAGCTGTATAATATCTTTGAATATCATTTTAGACTGATTCATTCATATGCTTGGTGATCTTGTAATCATTTAGAATTCAACAGTTTTTAATAATATGGTCCGTATCGCTACACTTACACACCCGCTTTAAATTTCAAAGGAAAATGTTTTCCCAAATTTTCTTATTGTTAAAGACTCCTATGCAATACTGTAGGCCCCTGGTATAAAACTGACAGATCAATTAGACACTCTGTAGAGATCGATTATGCCCTTTTATATAATAAGGCCATAGGCCTAATGTGTGTGAAGTACTGACTTTGTTAATATCGAATGGGTGAAATTGCGCACAAACTTCAAAATCTTGGCCTAACATACAGTACCAGAGGAAAGGATATCACATTTTATTCACCAAAAAGGATTTTCCACCGACGCACAGAGTAGGCCTTCTAATAGTATGGCCCAAAGCGAACGAGTTTCTGGTCTCGAAAATCAAGACACTTTGTTAAGGCTTATACAGTACAAAATACTGTACAGTATATAATTCATTGAAAAAGGATGTACTTTTAAATGAAGTTTATGTATATATACTAATATTTTGCGAATCTTGGGTTTTTAAAAGCAATCTTGGGATTTTTTAGACCCAATCTTCTGCATGAGACAGAATTATACCCCGACGACATCAAACTTATTGTAGGCCTAGGCTTAAGTACAGTAGGACGTACTACTAGGCCTATGCTTTTGTTGTAAAAGTTAAAATGCATGTAGAGGATGCGCCATAGGCCTGTATTTAAAAAAAAAATACATTTTGTTTATTATTGGTTGGCCTGGGACCTAGGCAGGCAGGTCAGCTTTGCCGTCGAAAGTCCTAGAATTCGACGATTTCGTCATTGATTGGAATGAAAATAGACGGGCTGAATTTCGTTTGTTTTATGAAAGATAGTATTTATCGAACATTTATCTATATAAAAACAAGATTAATATTGTAAAAATTGTATTTCTAAAGACTCATATATAATTCGGTAGACAATAAATATTCAGTAAGATACTAAAAACGATTATAAATTCTGAAATGTGCATCAAATCTCTGCTATTATTAATAATAATAATAATAATAATATTAATAATAATAATAATAATAATAATAATAATATTAATGATAATAATAATAATAATAATAATAATAATATTAATAATAATAATAATAATGATAATAATATTAATGATAATAATAATAATAATAATAATAATAATAATAATAATAATAACAATAACAATAACAATAACAATAACAATAACAATAATAATAACAATAACAATAACAATAACAATAACAAATAATAATAATAATAATAATAATAATAATAATAATAATAATAATATGTCGTTCTTATATAGCGCTTCATGCCTTTACAAGGCTTCTAAGCGCTTCACATTACTACCCCGGTCATTGGATCAAACACATATGGAACACAATGAATACCAAATTAAATTAGTAAATGAAATTATATTATCATTCCATAATATTGCAGCTAGTAATCAGCGCAGGTTGTGTTGGAACCTACCAGGTACACACTTGTACTCCTGGGCGGAGAGAGGCAACCGTAGATAAAGTGCCTTGCCCAAGGATACAAGCGATTTGCACAGCCAGACCTCAAGGTTGGGAGTCCAAGCCACAACCGGTGCGCCAATCAGTTTGTATTAGGTTAAAGTCTTAAAACAATAATTTCGAATTAGGCCTAGTAAACAAATAATTGTAATTAAAGTTTAGGTTCCCATGATGTCAGATGACGTATTCAATATGATGCTATATTTTGGGCTCTGACTTAATTTAACGATGGCCCTGTCAGTTGTAGTAATGACAATATTTGTGCTTTTTTAGCCATGTAGTAAAAATAGTGCTATTATTTTCAGTGTACAATATGAGAGTCAAGAAGAAGTTCAGCTCCTACTTTATTTTGTAACAGGCAACTCTATTTGTTTATATAGGCCTACTGGAAGATTCATTATTTAAGTTAAAACAAGACAAAACTTCTTAAATGTTTTATATATTATTATAAATAATAAGTACATAATTCTTTGTAAATTACTTTATACTTATAATTACTATGATAGCTTGTTTTGTTTTATAATAAATGTGTTGAGTATATTGATATTGATTATGCGATGAGGTTTTTTTTGTATTTCGGTGTGATTAAAACATGCCAATTCTCAGAAAATATTTTCCAATTTTATTATATTACCACCTTTTACTACATAGATCTTTTTCAAAACATAACTGCTTTTATAACATTATAGACCCATTATCGGAGGCTCCGCCCCCGACCCCACCGGGGCCCTTAGGCAGTCCCCTGGACCCCACGCCCAGAGAACCTCCCCACCCTTGAAATGACCTGGCTACGGGCCTGATTAGGCCTTGGCCAGATTAGGCCTATCTGTTTTGGTGTTTTGAATCTATCACAAGATATTAGGCCTATCTTCAAGCCCATGCTTTCTTCTCGCCATGCTGTGGTTTATGCACCTTTTCGAAGTGATTATAAATAATACGATAACATTATTTCATTTGTGATACAGGGACGATGCAACGGTTTTAACAACTCTGAAAGCAGGCGACTTTTTTGGAGAAATTGGTATTCTAAACATAGAGGGCGCTGCAAATAGGTAAGTAAGAAACGCAATCATACTATAGGAATTAAAATGGTGGTTAACCAATCCATTCAATATTTTGGAACGCTTGATGGAATAGAGAGCGTACAGTTTGCAATACGAGTCTATTACTACCAGGTGCTAATTCTGGTTAATGTTAAATTGTGGTAGTCATCGAATTACAGATTATGTATAAAACTTCGATCCAACAAAATGTAAAATCGATGAAACCAAACATCTCGGTCATGAAACCTATCACGATCCATCCTACTTTGTAAGCCTTAGAGTGTAATGTTGCCTTTCGTGTTTACTTCAATCGATACTTTACTTAGGATAACATAGGAACAATTTTCAGGTTTCATATTTTTATAGTGCCTTCCTCATGAACTGACGTCACATTCTCGCTTAAATCTATAATTCAGGGAGTGCGGTAGCTAAATGTTGCTCACAGCATCAGTCAATCAAAATGTAGATTTTGAGGAGACGTTTGTTGGGCCATTGGTCCACGGTGCAATGTGGCCCGTGTGCACGTTAAGCAACTACCGAATCACCAGCAGAAAGACCCCATATTGCAATTAAGTCTTCATATTATTTGTGGATTATCCCTTTTTGAATCCGATCTACATGCATAAAATTAGAAGATCATCTGTTCAAAGTTAATGATGACGTCATTCATAAGAGAAACATTATAATTATTGTAGTTTTATAATATAATATTACTGTACTATATTCATCATTATCATTACTGTACCAACATCACCATCATCATCAGCAATGTTCCAATTATTTAACGTCGCCTTCCGCTGGAAGTAGGCCTATGTATTACTTAATCATAGGTCTACTTGATATGCGTTTATTATTAGTTTTTACTTTTTTGTCGGGGTCAAATTGAGACAAGCTTCGCTTCTATTTTTGATCCTAATTAATTAATTGTAATGTTGTCCACTTTATTTATCATTTGATTTATTAATTGAATAAATGTTAATGGAATTGAATTGAATCTTAAAGACCAGAATTTTGCTTTGTTTTTCTTACAGACGAACGGCAGATGTCCGATCAGTTGGATATTCAGAATTGTTTACATTGTCAAAAGAGGATGTCTTAGGGGCACTCCGGGATTACCCACAAGCGCAGGTAAAACGTTGCTACAGTAACTGTGTAGGTCCATAATTAATAAGATAGATGGGGAAAAAGGTTCTCGAATCAGCGAGTAAGTCAAATTTAGTGGTTGTTATAACCATAATAACGTCAAACACACCGCCGGTAGGTGGCAGTTTTTCCACACAATGATAAGCCTCCGCTCGACCAAATGTTGACTCTTTTAAATTCCTCAAACTTGTTTACTTGTACATTTGAACGTAAATTAACTTTGAAAAGCCTTGGTAAATGTTCCTAAATTGACACCAGTAATTTTGATCCAATAGATTTGAAATGGACTGAAAGAAACTGATGGGAACCTTTCTTATTTAGGAATTGTTGTATATACAGTGAGCGTCGTCACGTTAATATGGGCAAATAAAGTTTTCTGGCCCACTTTTTCATCATAGTCAAAAGAAACGTCTTAATCTACAATCCAGCAATTCGCCTGACAGTTGAAATATTTTATACAAAAACTGCAACGAAATGAATTGGAGAATAGGCCTGTTGTTTTAGCTGAATGTGTGCCTCTCATGGAACCTTTCAGGCAGCGCTGGTTTTCGCTAGGTTAGGTCCAGCCTAGAAGGCTTCTCAAAATTCCATTTTTAAACTGAATGGAAATATAAATCAAATCAACTTACTCTGCTGAATCTATGAATCATTCAAAATGTATACACTTTTTTTTTTATAAGAACACATTTTATAAGAACACTGAGGCTGAAGTTGCTTAAAAATTAAGAACAAATTGAGGCTGAGGTAAAATGTCAAATGAGGTTTTTGAAAAACCAAAAAATTATATCTGTACCTTAGGCCCCTATGAGCAGTAATGTAGGTGTGACTATGTAATACCCCTATAATCAGGTGTACTGTCATTTGGGGCCATTTTTACCAGGCCTTTTTTTCTGGGGCAATTTTTTAAGGGCCCATTTTTACTGTACAATAATAATTTTCTATGTTTGAAAAGTGTGTAAAATAAAAAAAAATTAAGAACATTTTGAGCCTGAAATCGGCCAAAAAATAAGAACACTGAGCCTGGGCAAAATTTTACTGGTTCTTACAACAACAAAAAAAGTGTAATGTTAAGCATGTTAAAGCATCTTCCTTGCTAACCTCATTACATTTTAAACGATTCTACATTTTCGACATCACTCTTAACTAATTCATTCACTCCAGTGCGACTCAAATGGCGCCATGACGGTACATCAAAGAAAATGATGATTTTGTTGTAATTTAGATGAAAAATTAGCTTAGGATCATCACCTAAGCTTGAGCAAAATTATCTAAAACAGAAAAACCGAACTAAAGGCCACTTTAAAATGTTCCCGGGTAGATAGTTGTAGTAAATCTGGTGTGTTTTTTCTCCTTAGAATGTTTTGGAAGAAGAGGGTCGAAAACGATTGAACGGCCGTCGGGTGACGCCAAAATCCACTGAACCCTCACCCAATAGGCCAATGGTGATCCAGGAAGTAACGGACCTGTCTAGGTATAAATGTTGAATGTTCTATCTGACCTGTCTTGCATTCAGTCTCATCATGGTTTCATCAAGGACTTTTAACTGTTAAAAGTCATTGGTTTCATGATAATTGTCAACTCTCCATCATGTTAATAATAATGCACCATTTAACGCATAATTATTGCAAAATAACTACATCACGTTTTATGTTATTTACCCCGGTCACTAGATCAAACACCTAGGCCTATGGAATACATCCTCGCCTATCTAAAGCTTTGTCTACACTATCAAATTATCACATTAATATGTGACAAAACAAAAATGTGATGTGTCCATAATAATATGGGTACGATGACGTCATATCACATACTATCAAATTGTATTAAAAAAAAGTGAACTTGTTCAACTCTTATTTTCCATCACATTGTGTCACAATCAGCAGACGGCGTCGCGTCGTCTAGCGCTCGAAGGGAGCGGAGTTAGATTCGTCGTACGGCCGTCGTACGACGAAGTGAGTGCTTGGCTTAAGGAACACCATTAGTAGGCCTATTGGATCCTACCACAGGCCCGTAACCAGGATGGGGGGTTCGGACGAACCCCGCCGTTTGCTAGCTGGCCCCGCTTGGATGGCAAAAAAAAAAATCTCGAAAGAAGATTGCTTAAACTTAAAAAAAAAAAAAAAAAAACAATCCTGTTCAAATAATCTTTATAGACAGTAGCAACATTTAATACAAGTTTCAAGATGGAATTCTTATGTATGTGGTCAGCGCAATTGGTTGGTCGTTAACATCTTCAAAAGGCTCCACTTTTTCCAAATTTGAACCCCCTCCTGGGTGGAGAGGAAAATGTTAAATTTGACTTTTTCATATTACTCCAAAACATAATATTTACCTTGAAAGTCATTCAAAGTACTGTACAGTATTTTTTTAAAAATCTGTTACGTCAAATCTCTGTTCGTGATCAACGTCCTTATGTGTGTATCATTTTTATATTTCTATTTGACTGATTGTTATGATTATTCTTATTTACATGTATGATTTTAATAAATTCAAGTGTATCGTTGTGTGTATATATAAGTATAAGAATATCATTCCCACATATCTGAATTATGACTCACAGGCTTAATCAATGCAATAGTTTTGGACTTGTTATCAATTCATAAACTTTTAGAGTAGGCCTAATAGGCATTTTTAATTTTATACAGTAATACCGGTACATTATTATGCACTAAATTAATATTATACATTGACAGGGATTCTTCTTTGGAAAGAACCGCTCCCCAGAGCGCTCCGGGAAGTCTAGCAGACGTGAAGATGATGAAATCCAAACTTGAAACGCGAAAATCTCTTAGACCTGTGGAAGTTAGTGCAAGAAAACGCAGAGTAGCTCAAGTCGAAAATTCATTAACAAATGAAGTGATGGAGTTAGTTCAGAAAGCTGTAAAAGACAAGCTGGTAAGTTCGGCCTAATATGGTCTTGACGAGATTTTATACAAAGACTTTTCAAACTTTATAATTCAACACGTTATGTTGACCAGACAAGTGTATTTTGGTCGAAGATCATAGACTACAGTGCCTTGCTTGTTAAATTATGACGTTAGGAAAGCTTGGTAGGCCTACTTTTAGGCCGAGGACAGTAACGTCGGCCGAACGTGTTATGACCGTTGGCGACGAATACGTCTCCGCTCTCTCTGCGAGCGCGTGACGACGAATATTAAATAAGCTATAATGTACTGTGTTTGTTTACATAGAATAAAGTTGCCAGCGAAGCTAGACAGTTGAAAAAACACTCCAAAGAATTAGAAAAACAAGTAGTAGATCTCGAGATACAAAACGAACAACAGAGGTTGGAAATTCACAGACTACAACAGAAAATCAAGAAACTTGAGGTTAGTTGCTGATAGTTGATGATGTAAAATTTGTGGTTTCTTCATTTTCTCTTTTTAAATTCCGAAATTCCGAAATTAAAAACGAAAAATTGATATTGGTAGATATGTTTAGAATGTTCTCGAGAGTATCGTTGATCTTACAAGCCAGAAGTATTTCAAGTCGCCATTTCCCTGTGTTGTTCTATTATTGTATAATGGTTTCCAATGGGTCCACTTTACACTGGAACGAACCTCTAAATTAAGTCACGCTACCCGGGCATGTGTTAATACTGCAATAAGTAATTGGTCTTCATTTTATAAAATTGACTTGATTCTTTTTTTTTTTTATTTACATTTTATATGATGCTAATTTACAGATTGAGCCACCTCCTAAACCAGCAGCAGTAACAGTTGTGGAAAGAGCGACTAGTATGACTCCACCACCGCCAAGAACACCAGTGACTGATAAAACAAGCAAGACCGCTGCTGCGCCGGCAATCGTTGAGGGCGCCAAACCAGAAGGAACTACCTAGGTCAAGGCTGTACAGCAATCTTCACCGAAACCTACAAATAATATGCCTATAAGTTCCTGACACGAAACAACAAATAATATTGAAAGAGAAAATGCTCTTCCTATTTTTAAAAGATAATTTATATATTCTAATACCAAATATAATATATTTATCATTCGAAATAAAGTATTACAGTCTGATGGTGAAACAGCTGAACAACAAAACAGCAAAGTTTGTTGCTCAAATAAGTTCTACTGAAGTATTATGATGTGACGTAAGAGTCGATAACTCTTTAACACAAACGATGAATGATAGGTATTATTTGCACTTTGGTAACTTTCAGAAACTGTTTAATGGAACTGGGTTGAATTATAATTCATAAACTTCAATCTAGCTCACCTACTTCAAATTTTCTAGTAAAAGTATATAAAATATGAGCTGGTGTTGTAATGAACATAAATTTATCCATTCAAAATAGTTTGTGTTTCTTTTTATTTGTATCTTTTCACTTTTTAGTCACCGATAGCCAAGACTGAATTTCTACTTTATCTATCACATCCGATAGAGGGCGTCTGGTAACAGACACATCATTCACATGGATAAAAGCAAAGCTTCCACTACTAATTGTAGTTAGAAATCCTGATGGAATACTTTTCATAATAAAGAGCTGATAAGGTATTTTATGCTTATACCCATATTTATTACATCTTTAATTTTACAATTGTTGCCGGTTCCAAATTTAGCTAATTTCTGCTTTATGTAAATACTACCATAATATAAATCAAAACAAAAACAGCACATCTACCGTTATAATTATTCTAGTCAATATTAAATTCACATTTTTTTAGCTAACATTAACAGAAAAATTATAAGCAAGCAAACAATGTGACAAAATGATTCATTTTTACATTTTCGTTGAATAGATTTAGCGATTGTCAATTATTTAAAGTTGGAGAAAATGCTCAGATAAAATCTTAGTGATATTTAGGGCAAGTTTAGCACATCCTAATTAGTTCTTCATTCATATTTTAAGCTTCACGACATGTAGTATAGAATTGGGAAATATAATGCATGCACAGAAAAATAATACTATTTTACAGAATTATAAGGAACATCTGAGCACTCAACAAAAAAAAAATAGAAAACAGAAATTTATAAAACCAATACAAGTTTGCTTGTGAATAACACACTACTTTGCATCTTTAGTTTGTGCAGCAGGGCAAAAATAAAACATACACACATTAGAATAACATACTATTCCATACCCTTTCACATCCCACAGCCAGCAGGAGTCATACAGACATCAGATTGTGTGTATAACTTTAACCAGAAGAAGATTCACCAGTTATTTCCAGTATATATACACATGACCGCATTTTAATTACACTTGGAAGTCAATTTTGTAACCACAATAAAGCCATTGTTTATTCTATTTATACTACTGTATTAAGATTGACTTGGAGCATTCTGGTCAAGCCATTGTTTATTCAGATCCACTCGTTTTTTTCCAGAACCTTGCTTTTTAACCTATATAAATACAGTACTATTATAAATACATTGTCTTCACCGGGCTCATGCAAAATGCTGTCTCTTATACACATCTAGATGTGTATATATATATACATATATACTGATCTCTGATTTTTCATCCCAATATCCATTTGGACGGATGAGACTCAATATCAAACTAAACTAAACTGCATAACATACTAGATTTACATCAAAACAATTCATCGATTTTCATTAACAATCAGTGAAAATTAAAATAAAACAAGAAACATCCAGAAGTAAATAAACAGAACAACGAGCACTATAAATAGATTTTGTTTACTTATATTCGCTACAAGAATCGCAAATGTTATTTAGTAGTTTTTGTTGTTTGTACTGAAATCATTGGAAACAGGTGCACGTTTTGTGGCCAGTATGTTTTACCTGAGTCTTACTAACATGCTGTCTTGGCACAGTATGCCTTATGTACAAACCCCTCCAATTTTGCTAGAAAAGAAAAAACAAAATCACACATAATATATAATATTTACAATAATATACAGTTGAACTTGCCTAAGTCGAATCCTAAACGGCACTGAAAAATTGTTCAACTTGTATAAAATTTGACTTGTGGTTCATTAATTAATGGAAAGCACAACAACTTGGCATGTAAAATAATATCGACTTAGGCACTGTAATGTGTATAGAGCACTACACTTGTTTCTCAGGGCGCTGCCAAGCACCCGCTGCTGGTTAATGACAACGTACTGAATATTCAGTACAAATGAACATAGATAGGGCAAAACATCACTCCTATGATTATGATATTTTCCTGTTGCAACCACACATCAAAATAGCATTTGCAGTACCCTCTGCTACTTGGGGATTGGATTCCACACTAGTCACTAAGCGAGAGAACTGTGGTTGACACCAGGCTAGTTATCTTGAGGTTGTGGGTTCGATTCCCACCCGAATCACTTCATTGGGAACATACTGAGTATTCAGTACGAAACATCACTCCTATTTTATTACATAATAATAAAATATTTCATAATATACTATTTTCATCTCACCTCTTATTATAATGTTCAAAGCTCATCTTGTGATTTCCTGACACACCTGCGTACTTTCACCTTGAAGAGTCCATGATAATCATCTCGCCAATCTTTCTGCAAGATTTAAAATAACTTTACTGTTAAAAATGTACTATGAAGAGAGGAAAATAAGAGGTTATACAGTAGTTTCTGCCTGATTTTTTTAATGTTTTTTTGAAATAAATAAGATGATAAGAGGAGGTTATCAAATTATTCTTTTGACATGAAGGCTGGAAGATATGAATGGAACACAACTGCACAAGCTGCAGCTCAATCACTGAAATTGGTGAAACTCTCAGTCTAGGAACTAAGCCTTTTATTATTTTCATTTTTGACATTGCTTTGGGGCCCCAAAAGCAACAAAGTCACCATGAAAAAAGTCTGGAGCCCCAGTAAACTAAACTTAACTACATGTAGCTACTGTATAATATAAAAATATATGTTCAAAAAAGTAAAAAAGTGAAAGGCCAAGATAAATTAAAATCTTATTATATACAACCCCACCAGGTACCCATTTATACTCCTGGGTGGAGAGAAGCAATGCAGATAAAGTGCCTTGCTCAAGGACACAAGCGAAATGTACAGCGAGGGATTGAAACCCTGACCTCGACGTTAGGAAACCAAACCGTTCCACTGCACCAAATTGCTTCATATTTATTGTTTGCAAACAAGAAAGATGATTGTGTGAAGTCTCGCCTTAAATATAGGTCTACTATAGATGACCATGTAAACATACTAAACAGCTACTTCATATTTCACTGGTTTTGGTGGTTATGGCGCCTTAAATTCCTTTGAAATTGGTCCTGGTGACTAAGCCCCCAAAAGTGTTGGATGAGTTTTAAAAAAAACAAAAACATGTCAAGCAGTACACACACTCTCCCAATGGGGGCCTATTCATTTTAAACATGATTACATGTAACAGTTTAAAACATATGAAATAACATAATATGTAACATTATGAAACATGTAACACAATATAACATAACATATGTAACATCTGTAACTTACTGCTGCATCCACGTTTGCTGGGGATTCATCGTTTGGGCTGGCCAACATTGAAATGACGCTGACTAAAATAGATTCTACTGTGTGAACTGGTAACCATCGTTCCGAAGCCTCTTCGTAGCCGTATTTGTCTTCACCGGGCTCATGCAAAATGGATATGCAAACGTCGCCATCTTTACCAACTAGATGAAAATAAAAATACAATTGGCTGGTTTCTATATATACAAAAATAATTAATTTACTCTCAGGTCTGCTAAGGCGACCTGGTTGATTATTGAGGCTAGGTCCTAACCCTATTCGTTGTGGTGTCGTCACATGAACAGGTTTTGGGATATTTGCACATAAGCTGCAAAACATACCAGATTCATAAATCAGTGTCTGCTTGGGGATACAACAATTAATGTGGGAATCAAAATAATGACATCATAGTTAATTATTATTATTATTATTACTATTATTATTATTATTATTATTGTTATTATTATTATTATTGTTATTACTATTTTTACTATTATTAGCTGTTGTTGTTAACTCACTCAACAGTGATAATAAAATTAAAAATTATAATTTACTTACTATTAGGATGCCAGATCTCAGAAATGAACTTCATTTTGGGAGGTTTTTGTGGGTATTCAGATGGGAATTCTAGATGTGCTTTAAATAATCCTCCTTCACTGTAAAAGAAACATATACTGTGAAATGTCAACACAAGAATTAGCAACTGTTAGTTGTGCCCTTTGAACTTTGTGTTCCCCAGGTCTTGGTAGGCTATCAATGTGTTAAAGCTAGGCTCCAGAGGAAACAACATTGTTGATATGTTGTACAAATGATTTTCTAAGACACAAAAAAGTTGTTTGACAAAAAAGGGTTAATGAGCTACTGATTTTTGAATACAGCTCTCCAGGCAATATTAAGGGATGGGCGTCATGTGACCTAACTTGGGTGTTGATATAAACAATCCACTGACACAGAGGTGTTTTACACGGACAATTCTATCGCGGCCATCCCTTGTTTATTGCTGTAAAGATCATCATAATTCCCAGTAAACTCTACCAAATTGATTGGAAATTAAACTTCAGAATTTTGCCTTAATGTTTTGCTAATGCTGTAATTGAGATTTTTCGACAAATGTTAGGCCTAGGCCCCTAGGCCCCCTACGGCATGTTTAGGTATGCATGATGGTCTTCGACCCGCGAACTACGCTGCGATGTTAGGGCCAGCTAAGGTTTATGAAGGATAACTTAAATTTAGAAGCATACAATGCTTTAAGAATGCTAGGATAAGTAAATAAACACTATTTTGAACAATCGTATTGCCTTTCCTAGCTATTTACTTCTCATGTTAACAGTGGGTGGTTGTTTTCATAACCATAACATATCTTTTCTATGCTACCGCACTGTAATGTTTTTCATGTACACACAAGTTAGGTCATGTGACCGCCTGTAAACAATAATCGCTAAATCCCTCTATTAAAGTGGTAATTAATTGGACTGACCTATCGGGGGGGGGGGGGGGGGGGGGGGGGGTGTGTTAGAAAAAATGGTGGATAAAACCCTTTTCCCCCCAGATTTTAAATATACAATAATTTGTATCTTAATTTTCTTACTAAAATTATTTAAGTACAAAAAATTTTTAAAAAAATTCCTTTGGAGCCTGGCTTTAAGGTTACTTCCCACTAGGATGTAGCACATGGAGAAAAGATACAATGCTGCAATGAATGTGTTAAGCTCCAAGTGGAACCACTGACATAAGGAGTCACTATACAACATTGCTTGCATGGTTTACTACAATTTGAACCAGTTTCACAATGCAAGAAGCAAACTCAATGAGAAATGCACAATTGACAACACTGAGAGTGGTACACATCGGTGTATGCTAGGGTGTAGGCAAACCCTGTTTTAAGTTTTCACTGGAATACGGATTCAGGTCTACCCGTGGTACTGTACATTCAAATGCATTCCTTTGAACAAACAATTCAAGAGAGATACAGCATATGAAGTGGTACTGACTTACTAATATGTACTTGGAGGGCCTATTATCAGCACCTCCCATTTAAACAAGTTCTCATCATCAACAAGTCCTGCTGAAAAACCCTCTGTAGGATTTTTTTGCAAATCTGAAAAGAAAACAATAAAAATTGTTGTTAGGGAAATAGTAACAAGGTCACATGTAGAAAATTTGGTATCAGAAAATGTTCAAGTATCATATAGTTAACTAATAATATATCTTTTGCGTTGGTGCCTATTAAAAAATTTCTGCTATGTGCTGTCAATTTCTAATTTACTTCCGTTTTCTATAATTGACATTATGATTTGATTTTATTTGATTTCTGTTTTGTCATTATTCCAAATCTGGAATGAAAAATTTTGGCTAAGCCCCTGGAGACCCATAGTGTAGAACAACATGTAATGGATACATTGTCCTTATCCTGTGTATAACTATCATGTGAGCCCAGTGACCAAACTCCAATTAAAAGCCGATGCTTACAGTACTTCACTGTCAAACACAGTTGCAATTTGTAGTATCACAAAAATGGCTCGATATTGAGGTACCTGTAATTGTTAATTATTAGTAATATACCACAGAAAAATATATACCAGAGAAATGCATTTACAATTATATAGTGAGCATACAGTAATCAATACTTTTAACATCACAATGTTGAAACTATTTATTCTGAGAGCGCTTTCGTTAGCTTTTAAATGGATGTGATCTAGAACCGTTCATGTTGTTGAATAGCGCAGTGTATCCTAGACATACTTCATGTACTATAAATTTTTTCTCATTTTTTTCATCAACCATAATCCATATATTTATGATGAGAGCTGACCAGGTTTATACATTAAAGTAATGTATGCATACTTTTTTTGTTAATATTCTTTTGGAAAAATTTGCAGGTGGTAAGACTCTAAGAATGGGTCATCAAGCCAAATTTTGAGCAAATGCAAGAAAATCGGCCCTTGGAAAATGAAACAAATTTAAAGGCCTAATTTTTGCGTGGAAGATATATTCCCTGAGCAGGCCCTACTTACAATCTGGGACTAATGCCAGATTAGTCTACTGGGTGTAGAACCGTTTCAGCCACAAACAGGTTTGGCCATGATGTATGGAACACATTTTGTATTTTTTTTATTTCAGTTAATTCGATACATTGAATGAGTAATACATATCATAATACTAGTAATAAATATGCGTATTGACTTAAATGTAATAAGTATGGGCAAACAACATGTTTTATTTGTCAATTCACTCAGAGGGATACCTGTTTAGGGCTACATACTGTACTAGACACGAGCAGTGGCGGACCGTCAAGGCAAGCAAGGTATGTAGTGCATACCCTGACTAAAACAAATAAGAAAATATAGTAGTACAGTTTCTGTGTTTGATTTAGAATTTCTTAGCCAAAATCTTCTACATAAACCTTAATTTTTCGAGTGGATTGCTGTAGTTTATTGAAAAAGAAAAGTTTTTTAAGGTTTGGCCTGGTTTGGCCTACTTTGGTATCTAGAATTCACATTCGGGCCTATCGCATCGTACTCAGCTGCTTAGAATTTCTGCATGGCTGGTTTTTATTATCAATCAATCATGTATTCAGTGAGACAATAGAAGTCAGAACATACCCTACAACGCTTAAATTTGCTATTGTGACAACCGTGTGGTGGCGTCAGAATAGCCAATTTAACACTGGAATGGAAGCAGTGCTTCCAAGAGTATGTGCGCATGCTCTTCTTCTCGCAAATCAGAACCTCCACTGCCGATCGTGTATTCTATCTATATGCCTAATCTCAATGATTAAAGATTAAATAAATTTGCATGCATATAACCGGTATAGAAGAAACTTTGAATTATTATTATTTGAATTGAAATATGTTAAAAATAAAGGAATAGGAATTATTTTGAAAAGAAGATACTACAACCATGCTGGCATTAAATATAACATTCATTTGTATTTTGGCTATAGCGCAATCTGATCCTGTATAGTACTAGGCTTACGAATTTCCTGATTATTTGGATGTTAATGATTTCGCGGCCTAACTGGTTCGCGGCCGAAACGGATGGTATTCTGTACTGCACTCTGTGTGTAAGAAGCCTAGGCTTAGGCTAGGTCTGGCCCGTGTTTAAAAATCAAACAATAGGCCTACATAAACAAAGAAAGGAAACAAAACAAAAACGTCATCAGCACCACGTTAGTTGTGGTTATAAATTACACACACATTAAAACGACTAATGAGTAAGGCTAAAATTTACATTCTGTGATTGTACTTATTTATCAGAAAATAGATATTTGTTATACATCGATCAATCGATCAACCGGAATTACCAAAGTTAACCTAGGCCTAGGCCCTAGGCATAGGCCAAATACCGCAGTGCAAAGAGACACCTTTCGGTTTTTCCTAACAACCAAGATTAGCCTAGGCTAGGCCTAATAATAATGATAAAGCCTACACATTGACTAAACCTACAATCACTTTGAAGATGGTGTTTATATATAAATATACCTATTAGCTGTCTTTTAAGGAGTAAAGCAGGTTGATCCATAACTCGGCCTAGGCTAGGCTAACTAAAGCAGTGGAAATCTGAACGTTCTAAAGATGCCACTTCGAGCGAATACCAGTTCGAGCGGATGCCATTTCGAGCGAAACGGGTCCAGATTTGCGAACATTAACTTGTGCGAATTTCATATTTTGACCGAACAATTAATTTGATCGTTTTTCGCCCTCTTCGGACTCAAATTATGACGTAGGCCTAACATTTTGTATCTCACTAAACTGGTAATACAGTTAAAATTCAATTACAATTACAATACAATCATAATTATAATTTTCTTGTTTCAGTACAAAACCCCAGATTGAACACAAAACCGTGAATTCAGAATGAAACGTGCGAAATTTGATAAGAGATATACCGTATTTATTTGAATAAACGCCAGTTTTAAAGCCCCCCCCCCACCCTCCACTATATAAACGCCCCCTCCAGAGCCTCATTTGAAATATGCCTCCCTCGAAAAAAAACTCGTCACATCGGAGCCTTTATTTTTTTCTCTTATAAACGCACCCCCACCCCCTTATTGAGTGTAAACAAAACTAATGGGAAAACAAAACTAATGGAAACAACACCATCTCATCATTATCCTGTTAATATTTTAAAACAGTAGAATTAGTACATTTTTTGTCTTTATGATCACGGTATAAATAAAATAAATGCAATACTTTTTGCATTATCTAATTAATAGAAAGTGAAAAAAAACCGACGGTGCGATGTACTAGGATAAGGTCTGTTAAGCTTTGTATTTTTTTTTGTCACAATGTGGTTACAATCAATCACAGGGAGGAGGATGTGTATTGATTCTTATAACCCTATTATAATTTTATAATAATTTGTTATGCCAAAATCACACAAAACGAAAACCTATTAATTTGATTACAGTATTACTATTTGGAGTGGGTAGCCTGAATGTCTAGACTTTTAACTGAACCATACGAACTCACTGAGAGAGTAAAAAATTATCACCGAGCACTGTAGGGCTGCAAATGAATATAACGGTATCGGAAGAAGAGCATCGACAGCAATGGTATGTGAAATCAAACAGCGTTGCAAGTGAAAAAAAAAAAGTGTACTTGTCAAATTATCGCTTATTAATTAGATATCGTCTCAGTTTTTAAATACTGTATTGTTATTGTAAAAAAGTTTTCCAGGTCTATATGGGTGAGCGGTGCGATAAGTGCGCGTACGCGCCCCACCAAATTTGAAAAGTTCCACATTTTCATGACAGTCGAGAATGCACTGAATATAAAATTTGGTGATTTCCTTTGATTTAAGAAAGTCATAAATACTTACAAATTAACCATTCATCTATTGTTTGGCCTGTATTGGAGATTGGTTATAAAATTAAGCCCTTTCTCGGTAACCCCAATGTTCAAAAGTGTAAACAGTCACTCAGAGTGACGAAGCGTTCATTTAAGAGAATTGGTTCAGACCTGTCGTCGATACACCCCACAAGGAGGAATTTTGTGGTTTCCTAGCTTGAGCTCGCTTTTTGCTAGCATTAATCCCACGACTCATACAGTACAAAGTTTCCTTAAGCTCCTCTCATCCTCCTCCTCCTCATCATCATTATCTTCATCATAATTATTAATTTCCCGTAGTAAAGTATGGGGGAAATATTGGCGGATTTAAGTGGCCAGCACCTCCCCCACAGCACCTCCCCCCTCCCCTTCAAGGTTAAATGTGTCTTCCAGTGATAGAATAACCACACATTGCACGTTCTCTCATCAGGGGTGGAGCCAGCGGAGGGGCCGTGGGACAAGGCCCCCCGTCGGGGAGAAAAACCACGATTCATCGGAAAGAACAAAAAATGTATGTACTTTTTACATATTAATAGAACCATGGAGGTATTATTCAATAATACCTCCATGGTAGAACCAAATCCGATTAAATAAGCCTTTGAAACCCTTTGTCATATTTTTCGGGAGATTTTTTTTTAGCAATTTTGAGCGACACCCGTCCACGCCCACTTTTTTTTTGCTGGGGACATCGGAGGTATAACAATTTTTATACCTCCATGGTTACACAGTGCATTTTGGTATTGAAACAAAAAGAAAAACAATCTCTTAGATAAATTCGCCCTTGTTATGGTTCGCACTAAACGCATCCGCTGAAACTGGCATCCGCTCGAACTAGCATTCGCTCAAGTAGCATCCGCTCGTTGACCGGCATTCGAAGCAGTGTGACCAGTGCTATGCAAATCAAATTATGCCATGAGTTGATGGGAAATTATGCTAGATTATGACAAAATAATGTAGAATGTGGTTTATACAATAGGCCTATACCATTCTGTCCATGTGGTGGCCAAGGATTTGCCCTATAGGGTTAGGGAAAGTGTTTAGGGATTTGAAAGATTTTATTTAAAAGTCACACTCTGTACAAAATTGTTTTCCTCCAACGGCAGGGCACCACCATCCAGAGACACATTTTGTTTTATTATATAGCAGGGGCGGATTAGGTTTGAGGTGTCTTCCCCCTCCCACCTCCTTTTGAAAAGCAAAAATAAAATTAAAAAATTAAAATCATACTAATGACATTATTGTACATTATCGTAATGAATTAAAAAGTTTTGTTGAATTTTGTGACAATAATTACCTACAAATTATATAAAGATAAATTTTAACCAATCATCATCAAAGGAAAAGAAATTGAAATCGTTTTTAGTAATTGATTGAGCGGAAGTGACCATATTGTTTTATTTGTTTAAAAAATGAATCTTTAGATGTATTGCTCGATTTACATTTAATTCCAGTGAACCTTTGTTGCTTTCTCTCTATATGTAGTGTTTGGATATGTTATGTCCTGTTGGGCTGGTAATTCTACCGGAGTGAATCTCACGGAAAATAACCCATTTTCCGAAAATTCATAATATGCCTATTTGCATGTTATTACTATACTATCAATTGTCTCACGGAAGTCGGTGCTGATGGATGTCACCGTGTACAGCAAAATAAAATTAGATGTGTTATAAAAAAAGCTCATTTAAAGAGATCTAAGTGACTTGGAACCCCTATTATTGCTAATTTTGCTGTGGGTATATATATTTTTTTAAAGTGGGCATAGGGCCTACTTCCTAATTATGTTAATAATGTATTTTAGTTTCAATCAATCAATCAATCAATCATGGAATTTTTATAGCGCCAAAATCCATCAAATATTTTCAAAGGCTCTTTATCCTTAACCTCTTGAAAATGTCAACAGATCGGGACATCAAGTCTTGACGAAGAGAATTCTACAGACGAGGTGAAGCACATGTGAAAGCTCCTTTTCCAAAAGACTCCAGTCTATGTCGTGGCACATAGGAGTCATTGATTGGAAGAACGTACCGTTAGTTTTTAGTTTAATGCAGGGTCCTGGGTTCAATTCCTGTTGCAGTTGTTTTTTTTTTCTCCACTCTACTCTATAAGCCTCACACTGAGATTTTTACTTTGTGTAAAGCATCGTGTGTGTGTGTAATTTGTCTTGTGAACGGGAATCCTTGGCACATGTGAATAAAATAAATATATAAAATAAATAAACAAATAAACAAATAAAATGTAGCATAATTCCGTTAATCACTTAAACCAACAACTCATTTTCGAAAAATGTTTTCCCATACTAATCTTTTCCTTGGAAGCACATTTTTCTTACCGGAGAGTTTGCTTCAAGTAGGTTAATATATAGTACATTTTGTGTATTATCATTAGCAGTTAGGCCTACGGTAGCTTTTTTAAACAAATCATATTTTTCAATTTACAAAACAACGGATACTGAATTGAAATCGCTGGCATTATCCTCACCATTAGTCAGGGCCATTAGCATCATCATCAATGCATTATCAACATTATCTGTTTATCATACCGTCAACACTCCGCTGTCATAATCATTAATAAATAGCATCGTCATTATCATAATCAATAACTGTTATCATTATCATTTTTTCATCATCTTCATTCAGAGGTTTTCAAGTCCATGCTCAAAGATCATTTGATTTCATAATTTACTAATCTTCTTTCCATTAGGCCTACCTTTTTCTTCGTTTTCGTCCTTTTATCTTACAATGGGTTGCGGAATTTTGCGGAGACGATTATGACTCATTTTGTAAGTGTCTAAATGTCGTCATCGTACCATTTCTATTAATGCTCATCCAATACTCCCATCCTTCTTTAAAACGTCCAGCATCATCAGTGTTGCCTTGGTTACAGTATCATCAATGAGCCTTTTGTTAAATACATAGGATTTATTTAATTTGTATTTTTTTCTAATAACTGCCGGCTCTTTGTATCTGTTGGTTTCATGAGTTATACAGTGGCGGTTTGCATTACACACTTTTTAAATTGACTGATTAACACCAAGGTGCATTAAGAATGTAATTAGACTTTACATCAGCGAAGAAAAAAGCTAGATGTGTATAAGAGACAAGACGAGGTGAAGCACATGTGAAAGCTCCTTTTCCAAAAGACTCCAGTCTATGTCGTGGCACATAGGAGTCATTGATTGGAAGAACGTACCGTTAGTTTTTAGTTTAATGCAGGGTCCTGGGTTCAATTCCTGTTGCAGTTGTTTTTTTTTTCTCCACTCTACTCTATAAGCCTCACACTGAGATTTTTACTTTGTGTAAAGCATCGTGTGTGTGTGTGTAATTTGTCTTGTGTCCTTGGCACATGTGAATAAAATAAATATATAAAATAAATAAACAAATAAAATGTAGCATAATTCCGTTAATCACTTAAACCAACAACTAATTTTCGAAAAATGTTTTCCCATACTAATATTTTCCTTGGAAGCACATTTTTCTTACCGGAGAGTTTGCTTCAAGTAGGTTAATATATAGTACATTTTGTGTATTATCATTAGGAGTTAGGCCTACGGTAACTTTTTTAAACAAATCATATTTTTCAATTTACATAACAACGGATACTGAATTGAATTGGCATTATTCTCACCATTAGTCGGGCCATTAGCATCATCATCAATGCATTCATCATTATGTTTATCATACCGTCAACACTCCGCTGTCATAATCATTAATAAATAGCATCGTCATTATCATAATCAATAACTGTCATCATTATCATTTTTTCATCATCTTCATTCAGAGGTTTTCAAGTCCATGCTCAAAGATCATTTGATTTCATAATTTACTAATCTTCTTTCCATTAGGCCTACCCTTTCTTCGTTTTCGTCCTTTTATCTTACAATGGGTTGCGGAATTTTGCGGAGACGATTATGACTCATTTTGTAAGTGTCTAAATGTCGTCATCGTACCATTTCTATTAATGCTCATCCAATACTCCCATCCTTCTTTAAAACGTCCAGCATCATCAGTGTTGCCTTGGTTACAGTATCATCAATGAGCCTTTTGTTAAATACATAGGATTTATTTAATTTGTATTTTTTTCTAATAACTGCCGGCTCTTTGTATCTGTTGGTTTCATGAGTTATACAGTGGCGGTTTGCATTACACACTTTTTAAATTGACTGATTAACACCAAGGTGCATTAAGAATGTAATTAGACTTTACATCAGCGAAGAAAAAAGCTTGATGTTTACATTCAACAGGCCAAGAAGGAAGAACAGATATTACTGACACTCACATGGTGGTAGTCACTTTATTTCACACAATCTGATTGTTGCAATAAGATTTTAACTGATGATTGATTTTAGATTTAAGTATTCCAATCTAACAAACTTTATTGAAGAAATTCTAAATCTTTGGAACTTTGCACCATCCGACTCACAACACATTAATTTTAAAAGTTGAAGGAACTGGGATAAAACCCCACAATCTAACTTCATGATACAAACAAACAAGATACAATGATTGTATCTTGTTTGTTTATGCAAGATAAATCACCATGGTGATGTCCCACAGAATAGAAATGACCATTCAGAATAATGTGTTTACTATCATTGAGTTACCGGTATTTAAAAATACTAGCGTACCAAATTCAAAGCATTTTTTTCTTTAAAAGTACAAGACTTAACTTAATTCTCCTGGATATGGTTGTTTTAAATTCACAGCATACAATTCTAATTGGTAAACTATGACAATGTTTGACAAAATCAAGTTTAAAATTCTGGTCTTTATAATTTGCAAATATATTTCATGATAATTTTGAATTCACAACAGGCGAAACCTTTTTAATACCTTGTTCAGTGAACCCGCTGCCTGCAAATGATGCTTACGAATAAAAATAAAATTTTATTTTTGGCCAATTAGCGCACCAGCCTCCACGAAAAATTGAAAATTGCAGAAAAAAAAAGTTTATTACGCCGAAGATGCCTTGAAATCTCCAAAAACAAAATATAATTTTATAAATTTCTTACTAATTATATAAACCTAAGCATTTACCATTACTACATGCTTTACATTCAACAATAAAATTTTATTCTTATTTTCTCCTCTGTCTGGATGTTTTTGGCAACACAATTTGCTAAGTAAGAAAAGAAAATTAATTTTTATTTTTTTAGCCCTCCTCTGACAACCTTTAAAAAAATAAAATAAGCGAAACAAGGAATAAAACAAGTCTCGCCTTTAGCTCTGTCAGCTAAACTAGTGGTAGCACTGGAGATCCTTCCCTATGGTTGAGAGAGGAAGGTTTTGGGGTACGTGTTCCCTAAAGCCGGCCCACTCACTGCGTCGTACGACGGTCATACCACAGTCAGCCGTCGAATCCACCTCCACTCACTGGAGGTGGCAGTCTGAACAGATCATCAATAAAAACGATCTATCCGCATGCACATCATGGTATTGCGCTCTCCATAAAGTAAAGCATCAGACGACGACCGTCATACACAGTGAAGGGCCAGCTTTACATATTGTGGGGGTCCAGCTTTGGAGTTCTAGCCACTTTAATCTCTTACCAAAAATATTCACACTTATTGACTGCTGCCGGAAGGGCGAGCACCCTATTTGCCACCCCCTGGATCCGCCACTGACTGGGGTTTTTTTTATATGGACATTTTAATTTGGAGAAAAAAAATACACAAATGCTTCTTGAAGTGAGTCTTAACCAAGTAATCCAGTACTTTCATAATAATGCTATAATTACTACTCGCATGATAAAATCTATTAATGAAGAATAATAGAAAATTATATTTTTCCAGACATTTTCACAATGATTATCTAAATACAAGGGAAAACACTTTCAGAACAACAATAATGGTTGGCTGGTTACCCAGGCCCGTAACCAGGCATAATTTAATAAGTGGTTACCTACAAGGATGAGAGATCAAGGAGGTGGGGGGGGGGGGTGTTAAACAGGCACCCGACAGTGTTCAGAGAAAGAGCGACTTTTGCAAGGGATCTGGAGCATGAACTCTTGTAGGAGTAAAAAATAAATTTTTTTGGTAAGAGGAAATGTGAAAACCAAGATGGCCCCTCCAGCAAAGACCAACCTGCTTTAGAAGAAGTACATGCCCCAAAAGAAACATTTACATCTGAAGATGACCTTCTAACATTCCCAGCTTGAATGCGATGTAAAGGTTTCTGTACTATGAACATGCGAGAGCCTATACAAAGGGAAAAAGTATAACTTTATGTCACTTGAGTAATGTGTTTGTGAGAGTATGGTTCGAGCTTCCAGTATTATCCGTTCCAAGAACGCAGCCGCTGTAGTATTATATCATTGTCACTAACATGACAGCAGTGATTGATGTGATCTTGGCCACAAAGACCTATTGGCATGGGATGATATGGAAGCACTGCTCGAAGGAGGTGTATTGTGGCAGAAACTTAATGGAGATTGCAGTAGCAAATGCAGTATCCTCTTTCAATAACTGAGATGGTTGTACAGCTAATGCTGTTAGAAAATTTAATATCGAGACATGGCACAATACTAAAAAATTAATAGCATCGACCAAATTTAAAACGCCTTCATTTTTCAGACTTCTGATAAAGGGGAAAAAAAGAAGACAGATACTAAGGGCCATCAAGAAAGGTTATATAGATTTAAAAAAAGGGAAGGAGAAGAATATGGAATAGGGATGTTTTAAATGGAATTAGGCATTCATATAATGCGAGTTCGACTCGGTCGTCAACCAATATAATTATTTTTAAATGGCCAGTATCACAGAATTTGATTTTGACCCATGTTGCCACGTTTCTGCAAACACCAGTTCTCTATTATTACAAGCTGAAATATTTTCAACATGTATAGAAAGAGTTGCTCTTGTGGATGAATAAAAAAAATTGATAAAATTGCAATAATTTCTTCAAATACAACCTAATTACTAATTTGTGCGTACTGTTATTCTTTTAGAAAATACATGTCTTTATTTGAAATATTTAAATTTACCAAATTTAAATGTGTTTAACTTTTAATTCTTCCCCTGTATCAGTATCTCATAAGCCTTCCAATAGCAACTCATTTGGTGATAGGTGATTCCCGAGTTATCTATGCAAATATGCTAATTAGCTATCATATGCAGAAATTTATGCAGGAAAATAATACCCATGTTTGGTCTCTTGATATTGGAATAAAAATTAACCAGTTTTAAGCTTGTTTGAATTTAACTTTTACATGCACTGGTCTTATTTACCTTAAAGCCCCTGAAGCTAGCATGTAAATGGTGAATTTCATCATCACTTTGACTGACTGTATTTGATACAATGGGAAGGCTGGGTGTGGCTTGGTTCACCAAAGGGGTTCGCTTGAAAATGGGGATTCAGCCAAACTATAAAGGTCCACCTGGTTACAGGCCTGTTACAAATTTGAAATAACTGCTATAGTCTTAAGATACTGTAACTTTCTAAATGACTCCTCCTAAAACTTGTTTCGAAATCTAATACAACAGCACTGGATTATAAACAATGTTTAAAAATCATAGCCAAAGAGAATTGTCTCAATCAAAGTAATATTATTAACAGTACTATTTAAAGAGATAAATATTAAAGTAGCATAGATAACTATTTCAGCATAGAAATAAATATAACACGAAAAAATGATTAAAAACAATGTAAAATAGTAATATTATTAATTAATCAAATAAATAGTTACCTTTAGAGTTGAAATACTGTACTGTAAATGATCGAATAAGCACTGTGCCTTTTAGATATCTTAGAGGAATCACTGTCGTGCTTATAATATTCGAGGTGCTTATTTGAGAGTTGATGCTTATTATAAACTATTGGAAGTTTTTAAAAAGTACCGTCATGTGCTGTATATAGGCCTATCTGTATCTGAGTTTTTTCTATGTTAGCATTAATTAATACATGAGCAATCAGTAGGATAATAGTGTCCTGATGATATGAAAACAAGAAACACTGGGTAACATACTCTCAAGTAAGCTCCTAAATATTTATATATATAATATATTTTAAATAAGCTTGGAGCAGTGCTTATTCGAAAGCAACACTTATTTAAAGGAAGCTCTTATTACATCATTTACGGTACCAATCTCCATTTTGGTAAAAACAACATTAAGAATAAAGATAATAGCTTATTTAAAAGAGAGGTATATTTCTAAATACACATTTTTATCTCTAAAGATCACAAGGTTTTAAAGAACTTCTTTTAATTTAACATTCACAAATTCTCATTAATAATTTAACAAAAATAAATGCGGAATAAACAGTAAAGTTTGCTAAGAATTTACAAATATTTGCACCTGTATTCAACCATATGTAAATGCCTGCACTCACTCTAGTTGGACCCTACCACTTCTGGTTTAAGGGGTGCTGGAAGTAAAGCAAAATGATCTTGATTCAGATCTGCACTAATATCCACAGGTAAAACTGATGTGGTAGTAATTACTGGTTTGCTTGCTAGTTCCTCCTCTACTTGTCTTGTTACACTCTCCCTCCATTCTTTAATTTCTCTTTGCAGCATTTTTGCATCATCTAGCAATCGATTCTGTCTGAAGCGCAGCTCCTCTAAAGTTGTTAAATTTGTGTACATGAGCCTGAGACCGTCGCATATTGGCTCACTTTCTTCGGAACCAGGAGGGACCTTTTTACCCGCCATGTAGTCCTCATAATCTTGTTGACTAATTGCAAGCGATTGAGCATCTAGATTCTCTATGAAGGTTATTGCGCAACACTGGAATAAAACAAAGAATGAGCAATGTTATAATAGTAGCAGGACTAGGTTGTAAAGAGTCTAGTTGGCCTAGAAAAATTACTAGCACAGATTATATTTTTACTAATGACTTTCTATGGCCGTGGTAGTAGCAGTAAGTGGTGTCTATGTTTTATATAGATACCCATGAGATAATTTGAGACAAGTGTGTGTATGTAATGATAGAACACAACAAAACATTTGTAAAAGGTCCAATTATAGAATCGTAAGTATTAAGTTTATTGTAGTAAGACATTTTATTGATGTATGTAATTGATGTTTCTCTTTTGATAATGTACCACTGTAAAAAGGGAAATTCCAAATAAAAACTAAAATTATAATTATATGGTATGATAAGTTGTTGCATCTAGGAGTTTATAACTACCAATAATCTCCTGAATGATTGTTTTTCAATTAAGATTAAACAAGGACCATTAAAATGTAATATACCTACCAGGCTCCCATACACTCCATATTCCGATCCAATTTCACCCATAAGACCAGAAAATGAACTTATCCATTCCAAGTCTCTAAAAAGCACTGTACTGCAGTGGTATATCTAGGGGGTGTTGGGGGCACATGCCCTCCCAAAAAAAGCTTGTGCCCCCACCTTCACCGTCGCCAAACCCACTGGAATTTTTGCAAAAAGCAAAAAAGTTAAAAATCACCTGGCATACCACCTTATTTTGCCAGCTGGTTCTCCATCTCCATCAATAACCCTAAATATATCACTGCTGTGCTGTAAGACCACTTACCAAATTTGTGAAGTAGTATCCTGGTTCTCCCTTCATTATCCGCTGTGGATTGGCAAAGCGGGTTATATACTGAACGTTGGAGTGGAGTCGTGGTGGATTTGCCTTAAGCACAGTGTAAATAAGAACTGGCAGAAAGTCATCGGCACTGGCAGGGGCCCCTTTGGTTACTTGCAACATCTTAAACACAAGCTTACAGCAATTTACTACACAACTTAGCTTGTCTACAGGCGCTCGTTTAGAATTCATTTCTATTAATTCTGCAAAAAAAAATAAATGAAAAAATAAATATCTTGATGCAAAAAAATAATAATTATAATAATATAATAAATAATACTTTAAACAAAAATCACAACAACAATCACAACATTAAAGGTTTGCATAAGTGAATTAATTCTTACTGAACTAAAGAATGACTTAGAGAGGGCAGCTTAGCTCAGTCGGCTAAACTGGTGTGTTAGCCACCGTATACGTGAGATCTCATAGTCTCCGGTTCAATTCCAATGGCTTCTCTCTCTTTGTGTTTCATTCAGCTGGAGAAATCAGGGGTTGCGCCCGCGGGAGGAAAACCACAATTCGTCAGGGAGAAAAGAAATCTATGTGTAATTTGTACACATTGTAGACTCTAAAATTGATTTAAATAAGCCTTTAAAAACCCTAAATTGTCATATTATACAGAGATCGCTTTTCAAAAATTTTGAGCGATGCCTGACCATGCCCACTTTGCTCTCGTCAGGAACATCGCTTAATGGAACTAATTTGCCGTCATGAGGGGTGTTTCCTATCCCGCAAACACCCCACCACCCAGCCTACGTCCATGTGGTAGGGTCGCATTTTACACATCTTATATCATTTTAGGACACCAATGACAATAGATAATAAAAATGTTAAATTTACCAGTTTCAGCCTGCTCGATCAGTTTACACACATTTTCATTATTCTCATCAATCAGTGCTTCTAGCATTTCTGTGGAGACCCAGCGTAACCGTCGTATGCGATTCTGAATGGCTAGATCTTTCTGCTCATCATCAGTTAGTGGCGGACAGAACAACAAAGAGTACAACTGTGTCATAATGAACTTTTCTATATGATCGAGTATTTTGTCACATTGTTCTTCTGTTAAATCTGAAAAGAGGTGGAAAACCACATTAAAACTAAGAAAGAAAAAAAAACAGGAACACCATTCATATCAGATTAAAGTTGCAATTCCATATATTCATCAAACATCTTACAGAATCGCCTACATTCAGCATAATTAAGATTTATGCTAGTCTATCCTAAGGACCCCAATCCACAATACAGAACATGTGGTGCTATACACCAGATTGACTGTCAAACTGCCAGATCATGGTAATCAAGATTCTTTGAATATGCGAAAACCAAACAAAAAAAACATATAAAAGCAACCAACCACAGAATCACTCAAAAGAATATAGGACAGTTATCCACCGGGAAGAGAGGTAATGGCCAAGGAAGATAAGACAGTCTATGGAAATTAGGATCAGGCACCCCACGTTTCAACCATGAACTGAAGTTTGGGGGGGGGGGGGAGGCTTGAACATCAGTTGTGGGGTGCTAATTCTCAAAATAAGGTTATTTTAGGTGATTTTTAACTAATTGACTATGATTTTTTGGGGGGGTGCGAGTCATTTTTGGAGGGTTACGCCAGATACACCACTGCACATGATTAGGACTCAAATTTACGCTTGAATGATCATGTGACAAGTGGATCTACGTAATCACATACGTCTCCCTAAAGAAGTAGCCGAGATAGCAACGAAAGCTTGGAAATACAGTACCGTACTCACGCGAATAAGCGCCCGGGCGCTTAAAATATTTTTTGCACTTTCTGAGGGGCGCTTATTCAAACGGGGCGCTTATTTAAACGGCGCGCTTATGAAAACAGAGTGGAAATTGAGTGGGCGTTTATGGAAATAGATGAAAATCGAAGGGTTCTTATGGGAACTTATTCAATTCAAGAGGCACTTTTTGAATGAAAAAAGATTATATATGGACGAATGGTGGTTAGGCAGAAAAGATATCGTCCAGAGAACATGGCTCATGACAAGAATGCTGTGAATATTTAAATAACAGCAAAATAGCAGATGCAATTAGTGGTGGTGGGTAGTGGTTAGCTTGTTGGCCATCGGCTGTCAAATATGTTATAGGAAAGTTGGAAATATCCTCATTTTGATATTGACCTAAGAAGAATGTGATTCCACTCTGCAGCTAGAAAGAAAATCTTATGATATTATTGAGGGGCTTATTCAAATTAGAAGGGACGCTTATTCAAACGGGGCGCTTAAGGAAATTTTCACGTTAGGAGGGCGGTTATTCGAGAGGGGCGCTTATTCGAACAGGGCGCTTATTCGCATGCGTACGGTACAGTAAGCTTTATTTTTATTTTAAAATTCCAAATACAAAAAAAACTTAAGCAGACCCGATGCGACAGCAAATGTGTTGGGCTGTGTCGTACAACATTTTCTGAGTTAGCCTTTAGCAATAATATCCAAAGGGTGGGATTAAGTGGAAAATTCCATTCCCATCCAACACCGAGATTTGAAAATTTAAAATCAACTTCGAAACAGGTTACTCCACTTCTAATATATCAAAAATATTGATGATACATTAAAAATATATTTTATATACTTTTTTTTTAAATGACTTACTTCTAAAGGTTGGACTTGTATTCATTCGTTCTTCAATGCTATGGTAGAAGTCTTGCACTAATTCCGATTGTTCTTCTATGGTCAGGTCTGTTGACTTTTGTATGCGTTCAACGATTCCTTTACAAAGCTTTGCTATATCAGTGGCTGCTGGTTTATTCATGAATTTCAAGAACTCGGAGAAATTATTAAACGCTTTCTCACTTTCTGTACTAAGTTGCCGCTCAAGTGCAGAATGCGATACATCTGAAGGAAGATGGACGTTATAAATAAAACATTTACTATTATCATTATTATTATTATTATCAGTATTACTAGAATTGTTAAAACTCATTAATGTGTCAGTTTGTTCTACAATTAGCATAAAGTAAAAAAAATTTTTTGGCCACATTTTTGTAAAGGAAATTAAATTTAGAGAATTAGGCATGTGTGGATAAGGAATCAATGGGTCTGATTCATGTCTGAATTTCCAAACTGGGTCACCAGCCTAAAAGTTTGTGGAACGTGGATGTAGGGCATCATGATGTTCTTAAAGATAGCAAAAATATTAGTAGGACAGTGATATATTTAATGCTTGACCTATTTGCCTAAAATAAATTTTAAAAACTTTTTAATGCTGAAAATCTATTTTCTAAGTGCAAACTAAGGCATAAGCAGAAAGGAAGTAGCAGAAAAAAAGAAACAATCTTTTGACTGAACCACTGAAACCTATAATTCAACACAACATGTATTCATGGTATTGTTATCATTGTTAAAAACACAACCATTTGCAAAGTTTAAACCATTGTTCAATTGAATGTTCGGTGGGTAATATACTTGCCAAGATCCTGGTTTTGAATGTCATAATTTTTCATGCCTGAAGAAAACAACTCTGTTTTCTAAGTTTCAGTATTATGAAACTTTGTTTATAAAGCATCACATTTCCTTCTTTGTATAAGTAGATGCTTGATGTGAAAGAAAAAAAAAACAGTTTTTGAAAATATAAGTACCACTTACCTGTACTGGCACTTTTACTTGGTAAACTAGTTGGGGATTTCTTGAATAACGTTTTCACGGATTTAGATTTTGCGTTGTTACGTTGTCTTTTCTTTTCTTCAAATTTACTAAATGGTTTTGAGGGTACAGCTGACTGTGCATGTTTTTGTTCTTCCAAAGCTTTTTTCTCTTCCTGGTCCAACCTGAAAGAAATATTTTTTGACATTTTTTTGTAAATTGTTAAATAATTTTTTTTTTTATACTAAATCCTTCTTCACATATTAAATAACATCTTTTCCTCATATTACTGTGTGTACGAATGCTTGTGGATCACAACAGAATGATTTTGAGATAAAGGTTGCTATTCATGCGTGCGTCCTTCCAAAAGCTAAGACAATATGTGGCAAAGACAAGCCAAACCAGTCACTCGTCGCAAAAATCGCTTTTTGTGTTATTAATACAGTGTTAGAGAGTAAAATAATAGCTATAAAATAGTAAAAAAATCATTCAAATCGGACATTTCCTTATGAAGTTACAAGCGTTTAACCACACAGCTGTTTAAAGAACAATATATGAGAAATAAGCCTTTAAAGTTTATGATTTAAGGCATTTCCCATGCAGAAACTATCTTTAAATCCTTAAATTGTGTTGTTTTAACATTGAAAATGGGGAAAATAACAGCATAGGATGGTGTGTAGATATATAAGTGTTAGTTTAGTGCAATAAAATAGATTTTTTAAAATTTGACATTTTAGCATGTTTTGGCCATTTTCTCTGAAACACGATTTGCGACGAGTGACTGGTTTGGCTTGTCTTTGCCACATATATATCTATGATTGTTTTTTGCCACTCAGGAGTCATTGGCATAGCGCACATGTGTGATCTCGGGGAAGAAGCCCTGGACCCCCAGTCAAAAGGGGCCCCTGTTCCTAGTCTGAAGCCAATGTTGGGCTATTTTGGACTGTTTAAATGGTGCCTTGTAAATAAATATAAATGAAACTATTCATGGAGATTTGAAGAGGCTTCGATCAATATCAAAGTCAAGGTCGATTTTATTCTTCCATCAAAAAAAAAAAAGGAAATTATATTGCATGCATTATTGCATGTAATACTTTACATGGGGCCCCAAATATTTTGTCAGCCCTGACCCCATGACTCGTCATTACACCACTGTCAGGGGTGCGATCATCTTGTAGGAGCTAAATTAATAATTCATGTTCTGCCTTGTTTTATGTAATTTTCAAGAATAATCAGATGTGAATCTGCTGCAAAACAGGAATTAATAAAAAAAAACATGACAATTTGGAATGAGTTTGGTTTGATGGTCTTCTACAGGTGGAGTTGCAAATTGTGACTAATTAAAACTTTGGTATTATGTTGCATAAACCGAAAGGTCCACTGATTAATCTCAGATAATAAAGTATAATACATACTCCAAGTATTGAAATCAGGAATTCCTGATGATGACATAATTAATGTCGAAATATTGAATCCCAACATGATGGTGTGTATTTCAATACTTTGAGTATGTATTATACTTTCTTATGTTGCATAAAATCTCATTTTACATTAGGTAAGCCTACTATACATAACAATGGTACTTAAGTACTCAAAGTGGCTCTTTTAGGCTGTTGCCAGCATTTTTTTTTTAATCTTTTGCATTTGTTTGCATTCTTTGTTCTCCCAAGAATGCAGAGTCCATTTTGGCTGTGGATTTTCATATTTCTCCACTTTAGCTAATAACATATGTGTTATAGTACCTGCACAATAACATGATTTGTAGATGTTGAGGACTAAAACAAAAAAGCCCCCTCTTCGTTTGTTTAAAAATCATCAGACAAGAAACAAGATTCTTTTTACTATAGCTTTATCCTAGGCTCATTAGAGGTAAGTAAGGGAAATAACTCACAACATCCTTGTTTCAATTACACTAATAGCATATTATTCCATTATAACAAAACTTGGCTTTGAACTATATATAATATTAAAGCTCCATTCACGATTGGATCCAAACTGAAATTTTGACCGCATTTCCAAACCACTGAACGCCAGCATCAGTTACACACTGATTGATTTTCTGATCGCTTCGGTAGGCTTTCTGATTCGAAGATTTAGATTCGGTGTAAATACACTTTTAGGCTTACTTTCTGGCCAGCATCTCATCACTTTCGATTTGGGCTTGGCGTGCTTTATGGTAGACTTCACGATAGCATTTTGAGCAGTAACCGCCCCACGCTGGGTTGCTGTAGAAGCCACATCCCTTCTTACACATCAGCTCAGACTCGTCGACATGGAAACCTTTCTTTTTCTTCGTTTCTCCTGCCATTTTGATTATGCAAATGTTTCAATAACTTGCAAATGATATACCTGTAGTAAGAATAATCATTTATCAATGTTTTAACTGTCTCTGGATATTTTTTATACTGCAACACCAAAGTTATGATTTCACTTGATCCCTAAATATGGATCTTCTGGTTTCAATTCAACTTGGCCCTTACCCAACTCAAACATATTGACCTTGTTATATTAGCCAAATCAGCCCAACAACACAACTGACAACTCTCCACTTCTTTGCCAACTTGAATTGAACCAAGCAATTCAGTCCATCACAACTCATTTATTATTATACTGGTTTAAATTAGGCGTAGCCCTATGTTATCATTATTCCATTAATATAACCCAAAAATCAATAATTACTAGGCATAGCCCCCTACTAGGCTAGCCCTGCCTAGCCTAGGCATAGTAGGGTCCTCGTGGCTCACGTGCAGCTAGGCCTATCTAGGGCTAGGCTAGCTAGGCCTCTATCATAATACATAGCCTAATCCAATAAAAGATAGCAAATCGTGGGCCGCCTTGGTTAAGGGCCGAGTTGACACGGTCTGACCCTACTAGGCTTAGCCCTAGTCCTAATTTACTCCAGCGTCCTGGGATTTCTGGGCCATGCATACGGCTTAGTAGACGGCTACGCCCCTTCTCTTCTATATTATTACAGTACTGGAATCTGGATGGCTAGACACGGCCTGGCGTAGACAGTATGAACTAGCATACAAACATAATTGAGGTATTCATGCATTATTATTAACCTTGTCCGATACCACATCATAACAATATTATGCTAAATCACAAGCCCTAAGGAAAACTATGTTTTATACGTTATAAAATACCTTATAATTGGAACCAAAACAATAGCATAGACAGTATCACACCTCTCTCTTGAATTGTGTTGATGACACATCGATGGGATGAGAAACTACGACAGAGTGCTAGCTGCCAACAACGCTCACATGATCTGACTGGCAATCACCTGATAAAATTCAACCAATAGAGATACGCAATTTTGTTATGCAACGTTTGTGTATTTATTTTCCAACAAAAAAGGTAAGCCTACTTTCGCATAAAAAACATTTGCGCAAAAAGTCAAAAATACGTGCTATGATGTAAATTACAAACATACGTGGTTAAACTATTGACGTAAAATAATTTTTTTAGGGAATTTCAACGAAAGAAATGATCACCATGCATTTGCATGGGAGCAGGTTTCACAGAGAGACATAGAATCATTGTGATATTTATTTCAATTTATTCATAAAACCTCCAGTAAGGAGAAACATAGACAATCGAAACAATAAAATTACATTAAATCAAATTACATACGGCGTATCAAACTGACATTACACTCACTAAGGAGTTTTTCAACTAGAACAAGAGCGTTTCATTCCTTAAATTTAGGCCCTACTACATGACAAAATAGAATGCAGAGGATAAAACTTTGTGTAATTAAAGGTATAATCAATGTTTTGGAAAAGTGGAACGTATTCTTGACATACATTTGGATCAAAGATCATTATTGATGCAGCTCAACCAAAATGAGTAGTGCCAAAGTGCGAGCCAGCGAGCCATACATTTATATAATATATATAAAAATATTTATTATTAATAAATATGTAAATATATATATATATATATATCAATATATATACATATATAAATAAATATATTAAAAAATATATGAACTTATTAATATATATAAATATATAAATATATATATATATAAATATACAAATAAATATACAAACAATATATTAAAAAAATTTAAATAATTATATAAATAAATATATTAACATAAATATATATAAATACATATACAAATAAATATATAAATATGTATATAAATAAATATACAAATAAATATACAAACAAATATATAAATAAATATATAAATAATTACAGTATATATAAAATAATACAATATATAAATAAATAAATATATAAATATATATATATACAAATAAGTATATAAAAATAAATACATAAATAAATATATAATATATATATAAATATACAAATTAATATAAAAATATATCAATAAATATATAAATAAATACAGTATATATAAAATAATATATATATATAAATAAATAAATATATCAAATAAATACAGTATATATATATACATATATATATATATATTACATATATATATATATATATATATATATGTATGTATGTATGTATGTATGTATGTGTGTATGTGTGTATGTATGTATGTATGTATGTATGTATGTATCTGTATATCTGTATTTTAACGACATCTATCAGCGCTGCATACTTTCGGATCTACGATTCAAAAAAGTAACCAAGTCCAAAAGTGTATGTACCGCGCATGACTGGACTAGACAGGCAAAGCTCCCCGGTGTGTTATTCATTCATCTACTAGGCCAAAGAATATAGGCTAGGCCTACGTGTTTGCAAAACTGGATAACCTGAAAAAAAAAAACAAAGATTTAAAATGTATATCTTGCATGGCTCGCGCATTGGCTCGCATGACTCGCTGGCTCGCACTTTGTCACGACCCACCAAAATGCAATATCACCAATTTTTGTCATCCATATGGGGCATATCAAATATATCATTTTAAACAATAACTTTAATTTCTACATCTTGCCGGGCAGGTTCAAATGTGGAATGACCCATTTATTTTTTGCATTATGTTTTGTTAAGAAAATCCTGGAGTACAAGAAAGTTAGTGTACAATTTAGTGAAAGGTTGAAAAATAAATTGCTGCCTATTATTATTATTATTATTATTATTATTATTATTATTATTAGGCCTATATTATTAGGCATATTATTATTATTATTAATAATAGGCCTATTACTTCAGATATTCACACATTGAAAATGTTATAGGCCTATGTATCTCGGTCCTCCTTAAATTTGGTGCTGATCGGAAGTAAACATGCAGATTTTAGATTTATATATTTTCCGGCCGCAACAGCCGGCAGAGCCCTATCAAGCGGATAGTTTGGTCTTGTTTGCTAGGCCGAGCGGACTACAAATGCGCAGTTATGAATAGTTCATGACATTTTACCAAACTTTTTCTAGCTCGAGCGAATCGTTGGGGGTGGTGGTGAGTTAAATTGTGGCCGGCGGACACCACCTCACCAACAGATATTCCAAAACGGGTGTCCCGAAAGCTCAGACCACGAAAGCTAAGACCTAAGACCACGAGATATCAGACCAACTCGAAAATATCAGACCCCGCAAATTAAGACCTTCGACTAATATGCCAGGATTTCCAGACAATAATACTTTTATTCGAAAGCTAACATCAATATATAGAACTGACTAATCATGAAATAAACACCAGTAAATATTATCGATACCAGCCATTATTTTGATAATAATAACTCCATGTACCAGCTAGACCCTATTTACGACGTTTAGCTGGAGAAAGCAAATACAGTACAAACAAACCGTTGTTAGTGTACAGGTTACTCCACGCATGGAGGAATAAATTTATTCCTCCATGCTCCACGGAACACGGTTTCGATAGCGGTTTCTAATGCACATCGTGCGAATATCTGATAATAATAATAATAATAATAATAATAATAATAATAATAATAATAATAATAATAATAATAATAATAATAATGATAATTATGATAATAATAATAGGTCGATTTATAAGGTGCAAATAAACAAGCCCCCCCCCCATTTTAATACTGCTAGATACGCCACTGCCTGGTTTCATGTTCTATGCTTTTAGTTTTATCTTTTTTAATTATATAATATTTTGAAACCGAATATAAAACAAAAAAGAAGCAAGTAAAGAAAAAAGGTAAGGTGAATGTAAAAAGAACAAACTATCCTAAAGAGTGAGAACGATCGAGAACCATAACATCGGATACAGTATTTGCACGATAGATATTGTTAGAAACCGCTATCGAAAACGTACCGAAACCGTACCGTACGGTTGCGATTTTTTTTTCCGTACGAAACATTTACATGAAACGCCACTCGGGCCGTCTCGGCTGAATCGACCCGAAAATCTCATTGCAGAATTCAGGAGGTCAAAAGGTCATCAACAGATAAACGTCTACAGAACAACTTCTGAGAGAACGTCGCTGTCTAATTTTTTAA